TTTAATAGCTAACTTTAACTGCTAACTGCTGTTTCAGAGCCACATTAATGGGAAACTAGATTCAAATAAACTCACGTTCTCCGTTTAACAGACGTTCTAACTTTCTTTAGCTGTCTTTAATTTTTATTTCTATCTGTAGCATTAAAAACCTCAAATGCACCAATCAGATGAAAAAACAGATTTATAAATAACAAGAGTTAGTTTTATCTGATTTCAGTAACTTGAGCTTCCTCTTCTGTTATCTGTTGTCGGTTTCTCTGTATTTTATTGCGGAGCAGCAGCAGGTGTTAAACCATGAACACACCTGTTCAGACACCTGTTCAGACTTCAGTCCTCTGCTGCTGTTCGTCTGGATTTTTCCTTTTTACTTGTGTTCATTTCGTCTGGACGGAAACTCAAAGAAACTCAAAAAAAGACAGAAAAATTATTTACCATTTCTAAATTGTTAATGTACAATTTTTTTTTTTCCAAATAAGGACAAATATCTGTAAAATAATGTTGTTTTTTCGCTGATTGAAATACACTAAAAACAGTTGCATGTCGTAAAAGAGCAAATGATGAAAATGCAGGTTTTATTTATTTTTGAATGTTTTTTGTTTGTTTTTTGTAGACAGCATGTAAATGAATGTTGTTGTTTTTTGCTGTAGATATTATCTGTAGTTTAACTAAACAAAAGAAATGTGTAAACAACAGTTAATTATTTCAAAATTGCAGATAAATATGTTAGTTCTTGTTTTTTTACAGCGTTCAGCCGTTCAGTCGCCTCAAACCTCCACCTCTTCGACCTCGGTTCTCAGATTTTGCTCTTTTCTTCGTCCGCAGGCTGAAATCTCGGAGCTGCAGCAGCTTCTGGCCTCCAAAGACGCAGAGATCGAGTGTCTGCAAACGCAGCTGTTGGCCAGAGGGGGCAACAGCGCCAACGACAGCGCAGAGCGAGGTAAACCGACCAATCACAGCACGGCAACGTACCTTTAACGTGTGGTGGCTGTAGCGTCTAATAACCGCCGTGTGTTCTCTCTCTGCTGCCCTCTGCTGTAGAGGAGGTGTACATCAAGCAGCTCATTAACAAATGTAAGGCTTCGTGTCGCTGCCCCGGTCCAGCTTTACAACCAAACTCCTCGTCATGAGACACACTCATGCTTCTGTTTAGAGTTTTAGCTCAAAGCAGAAACTGAAAAACAACCGGTGAACGCTTCAGCGGCGTCTGGTGTCCACCTGGTGTTTTGGTTTGAATCTGGACCTTCAGCCGTCTTCAGCGTCGACATCCTTTCAGATCACAGAACGTCATCGGTTCTCTGTACAAACCCATTTAGGTTTTATTTATTTACAGGCAAAATCTGAAATAATACTGTTTTAATTCTACTGCATGGTATCTGTGATTTTATAAAACAGGAAAAATCTATAAAATACCAGATTTTAAGACAATATTTTAATATATAAATTAAAGTATGAATAAAGAATATAAATAATATAATTATTTTTTCAAACATTGGCACATAAAAAATATTTTTTCTGTCAATTTAAATACAGTATAAATGAGTATAATTTTACAGTCAAACATGGTAAAGCAATAAATTAGATCTTTTTTTAAATAAAGACTTTTAGTTATAAAAATCTAAACTGTTTTTTCTTTTTTTTTACAGTCAACATGTAAATTGTGTGTTTTCCTGTAATTTTATTAGATGTTATGTGTAATTTAACAAAAAAAAGAGAAAATCTATGAAATAGCAGATTTTTAAAAAATTCTTTACAGTTTTTCAATCCTTAAAATATACTTTTTTTCAATTATTGACAAATTTCTGGGTTAAAAAGACATGTTTTCTGTTAATTTAAATACAGTAAAAAAATATAGTGCAATTTTACAGTCAAATGCAGTGAAGCAATAAATTATATTTTTTTATTTATGAAAAATTTTAGCAATCTAATCAATAGTTGCCCTGTTTTTTTTTTTCCTTTTGCAGTCAGCATGTAAATTGTGTTTCTGTAATTTTAATACATATTATGTATAATTTAACAAAACAGAAAATCTATAAAATGACATTTTAAAAGAAGTTATTTACTTTAATTTTTTTCAACCCTAAATATATTTAATTTTCTTTCAAATATCTGCAAGTGTCTATAAAACGACTATATTTTCTGTTAATTCTGTATTTCTGTCCAGACCTGCAAATAATAACAAATATTTAGCTGAGTAGTTTTAGAGACCTTGTTTCCTTTAATTCATTTTATTTATCTAGTCTGCTGTGCTGTTTTTAAAAAAATATATATATATACGCTAGAGGATGCATCATAAGCAAAATGAGTGAATTAATTAAATATAATATAATATTATGGTTAGGAGGAGGACTTATTTTTGAACCTGTACTCATCTATGATTAGTGAGGTTTTACAGTCTGATGTGGACATTATTTACAACTCTGGTCTGTTTTTATATATATGTATAGGTAACATAAATTAAATGAAGAAGTGCTATGAGATGCCGTATGTTCAGCGCCGGCCCAAGCCTCCACGTGGCCCAAAACGATGACAACACTGATCAACGATCATTCACACACCTCCTATAGACTTATTTTATTTTCTAATTTGGTATAACGAATACACTCATAAAACTCGATGTGAGACTTTTTGCTGTTAGATGGTAATCCACTGCTGGCCGCACAGAGCAGCAAAACATAAAACCTGAAAGAGCTGCACAGTAGCAACAGGGCCGTTTACAGCATCCTTTTATATACCAGGTATGTTTTCACCCATCTACGGTTTATAATCGGAAATGGTAGTAAACTCACCTACAAGTGAGGCCTGGGAATGATTTACACTTTATATTTAACGTGACTTATTTAACTGAGATATTGGATGCCATCGGCCCACTGAAGGTAATAAAATAAACCAAAAGACATCCGAGTTAGATGTCAAATTACCCTTGAAATTACAAAGTCTGTTTTGTTGTTAACTTACCAGGTAGATCAGCTGAGGTTATAGCAGGAACAGGGACAGAAGGCGCAGTGGCTGAGAGACAGATACAAGACAACAACAACAACAACAACAACAACAACACGTGTCAGCCATGTTCGATGTCATATGAGACATTCAGTATGAAAACTCTTACTCCAGTGTGTTTCCTTGCAAATGTATTCACATGATGTGCATTTATCCAAAAACAAGACTCTTGTCATGTGATTATGTATGATAGTAAATCTTAATAACGTTATTTGACATCACATGTGTCCAGGGACAGTTTATTCCTCACCTCATGCTGGAGTCTCAGCTCAGTCTGAAGTGGACTTTCTCTGCCTCCAAAATACTTCAACAGTGCTCCTGGTGAAGGTTCATATAACTGATGAGCATATTAATATAGAAAGACTGTTCATTTTACCCACATAAATGTCAATGCTCTGCAGCAAACAGTTATTGTTAACATCTCAATCTATAGCTCATACTAACAGGTCTACAGTATCAGGGTTCTCTCCAGCCTTATAACAGACCAGCGGCCCGCTACGCTGCGGCCTGAAAAAATTACGCTGCGAATTGGGCCTAGATGTTGTTTTCAGGGTATGTAGCCGGAAAAATTATCATTTCTCTACGTTGGTTGTACCTTGCTAACTTACATGTATTCAGGCAAATATCTGACAACAAGCGCCGGTGCAGTTTCTCTACCATAGTCTTAGCTGCTAACGTTGCTATTCGTTAGCTGCCAACGTTGCTATTCGTTAGCAGCTAAACGCTAACGTTGCTATTCGTTAGCAGCTAAACGCTAACGCTGCTATTCGTTGGCAGCTAAGACGGTAACGCTACTAACGCGGCTTTTCGTTAGCAGCGAAGACGC